AATAATGCAATTAATGATTTAACCTGGTTGGTAAATACAGACACATACATACACAGTATTTCTATAAACCGTGTCTCATCTTGTCAATTATCTATTTATAGTCCATCCATCTATAGTCAGGGGCGGCAGGGGATATGGTAGTGTGAAAGAGGAACTTAATCTTGTTTCCAATTAAGCAGTTTCATCCCACATTTTTCTCTGTTTAGTTCTAATATCATGTAGTCTGGAACCAGACTAAATAACAATAACAAAAGGATTTATCTGGCTCATTTGTTAGCAACTAACATGATAGATAAAGGGGTAATTTAGTGGGTATTTGGAAATGGTAAATGGACTGGTTCTTATATAGCGCTTTTCTACTCATCTGAGCACTCAAAGCGCTTTACACAACTTGTGCATTCACCCATTCACACCCATTCGCACAAGCACATCTTTCTAAGTGCTTCATAGCTAACATTCACACACATTCATACTCCGATGGATGCATCGGAGAGCAATTTGGGGTTAGTATCTTGCCCAAGGATATTTGGCATGTAGACTAGGTTAAGCCAGAAATCGAACCACCAACCTTCCGATCAGTGGATGACCTGCTCTACCACCTGAGCTATAGCCACCCTGTAGCTCAGGTGGTAGAGCTCAGAAAGAGTGTGTGTGTGTGCATTTTTAAGGAAGGGAGTATAACTTTGTTCTGATATGCAGGTCCTTGCCACAGGAAACTGGGTGTCTACCACAAAGAAATGACTAACAGCTGAATGTGTTTGGAGGAGGACTTGATGTCTGGAGGTAGACTCAGAAATAAAGCCCCTATCCACTCTGTCCATTCTCAAAATCTCGGCATTGTGGTGAAATTAGCATGAATTAGAATGGAATGTAAATTAATTTTACAAACATCAGAACATATGTTCTTTAGCTAACACATTGGTCACATATTCCGAGACGTAAAGGTCAAATTAGTTTTATATGTTTGGATTTCTTCAGACTTAACCTTCACTGGAATTTGATTAATGTCCTAATTAGAACAACAACTTTCTCAGGGAAGCAGACCAGAGTTTAAGGCCTGATGTTGGACAATTGTTTTTGTCCCTTTCAAGAAAAACACTGCAAAAGACTTGGTAAGCCACCCACAGATCACCTCAGCTATCCAAATATGAAATGCA